TTTCCTTTTGATAGTGGCAGGTAGGATCTTAGCACAGCAGCTTTATAATCTACAAATGTAATCTTCAGAGAAGTTTGTATTTCCTTTTTAAAATGTTTTCTAATGTCTATGTAAGTTAATACAGTGGTCTGTACCCCCCAAAGGAAAATAGTATCGAGAGCTTTCTGGCCTGAAACCTGCTATCTTTTGGAGTAGAACAAACTGTTGAAGGGTTTTAAACAAAAATAAAAAGGTTACCTTTTCTCTGCAGTGTTGTAAAGAAGGAAACTCCAGGCCTCACTGCAAATGGGCTTGTTATAAATTTAGACCACAAGATAAACATACAGTTAATAGAATTGCCAGCAGAAGTGGTGAAATGGAACCCTAACAGTTCTCTGTTAGTATCTATTGTTCAGAAAGGTTGGACAGGCAGTGCTTGCTCTGCAAAGTGCAACTCAGAAACAACTACTTGAATATGATTCTTACAAAACTCCTTAAGAAAAGAAAAGTCAGGCACTACTTCATTAGTTACATTCTAACTTTGAGCATACATCACATGAAACATTGAACTACTGCATCTGACAGCACACATTGGTTTTATGAATGCAGACAGTAAATTTTGGATTTATTTATGTATATCTCTTTCAATTAGTCAGAATTTAGGAATACAAATGATTAAAATAACTATAAAAACAACTTTGGATGTGTTAAATCACAAATAATGGATTTGAAGAGTAATGTATTGAAAAAAATAGAATTATTCTGTTACACTTGTCCCGCAGTAGAGTTCTTGTTAGTTGTCTTGCACAACTGGAATTAAGAAATTACAATTATTAGATTTGGAGCCACATCACTTTTGTATAGACTTACTATCTAACACAGCCAAGTTAATCAAACGACAGTTCTGTGAAGCTTTAGACAGAGTTTAAACTGAAAATTTAGTTGACCAGCCAGGATAGAGAGAGAAGCATAGATATTACCAAACATATCCTGTCTAATTTCTTCAAGAACACTTGAGGCATACATTTTCCATTTCACCTTTTTGGATTAGGTATTTTTAGTTAGCATGCTTCAGGAAAGAGTGCTTGCTCACTATATTAAGTATTTCAGTGACTAAAATGTGCATCTTTTCTCTTTGATATACAGTCTGCTTTTTGAAAAAAATGCATTCTGATTTTGGAGTACAGTACAAACCTAGAGAGCCTTGTCATTGTTAGCATAAAGAAGACATCTACACAAGTATTACTGTGCAGAGGGCAATCTTTCTTTCTCTGGCATTTGTTAGGTTACTGTACGTAGAATTTAGCAGATAAATATCTTTTGCTTCATGGCATTTTGGAGATCCTATTGGTATGCAGGTTACCCTGTGAGGATGGCAACTGAAAAAAGAAATATGTTTTATAGCAGTGTGTAATAAAAGCCCTTCACAATGATGTAAGTGGAGTCTGACCTTTCTTTCTTATCCTGTAATTAGAATTTTTATTAACTGTTTCAAGTGCAGAGTTTTTTGAGTAAATTAATGTTACTTAGGGAGAACAAGGAGGTATTTTTGATCTATGAGTTTTAAAAGTAAAAGTTTAGAATCCTTTTTAGACAGGGAAAAATAAAAATATATTCTTCCCAGCAACTTCCTTCACACAAAACAATTTTGATTTGTAGAAAAGAGAGATTTACTACAGGCATCCTGCCACCACCCCCACCCCCCCGAAGAAAGAAAAGAAAAAAAGAAGGGAAAAAAGAAGCATTTCTAAAAAAGACTTCTTTCATTCTCTGAAAGAGGAGGGGAATGGGTTTTAGAGAGGAGAGCTGAACTTAAGGAAAGACATTAAGGATCTTTTGTCTGACTGAATCAGTGGCCAGGATAAAGTTGGGAAGTAAAGGTGATCCCTGTGGAGTTTAGCAATATACAGAGATGAGATTAGATGACTCACCACTGGAGATATGAAAAAGAGAGAAAAAAGCCTTTCCAAGGAAGGTTTTTTTGTAAGTGGATTAAAATATTGTTGCAGCACACAGTTATTTCCTGCTTCCTTTCCACCTTTTACCGAATGACCAATGTCTTACAGGGACAAAAGTGTTCCTTAGTGAGTCATCATCAGCATTTCATACAGTTACTTCCAAATTATGTACTCAATTCTTCTTGTAGGTTCACCGGATTTACCTGACACAACTCGGTTTAATTACTTGATACACTGAAATAAATGAGAAGAAGTCTTACTTTTATATTATTGAGGCCTCAATGTATTATCAGTAAACTCTCAATGGAGTGAACCTTTGTGTTGTATTTCAGGCTAGTGTAGACTACACAGTTTTCTATACAAGACTGTTAGTGACCTTCTAAAACCAGTGCCTTTTTTTCTATTGGTGTGGTTTCTTTCTCTGCCTCTGCAAACTTGCCATTGCTATAGTAACTCAGTCAAACATCTCTTCGAGATAAGTTACCTGATACTCTGCTGTAGTGCGCCTTGCAGCAGAATCTATAGGATGCAGTAAAACTTGTAGCTGTATATCATGCAGGGCTCTTACTCCCATCAGGTTCTATTCTGCTGGTTTTAGAGAAGACACTTAAAAATATAAATTATCATCTTAAATGGATGCGATAGGGATTGTTAATAAGTTCCATTTGACTTCTTAAAGTCCTTAGTTGCTTTCAGCTGTAAGCAGGTACATTTGCTGAACTATACATTAAAAATATTCTAGAGAAGGAACAAAATTTGGAAATCCTAATAAGTAAGTGGTAGAGTCTTTGAAAAAAAGTAGTTATAAATGGGAAATATAATTGTCAACAAAGACCTTGGTTAATTATTTGTTAGTATTTTCTATCATTGCATAGAAACAATACGTTCCTCACAGCTTCTCATTAACTTACATACACAATTATATCATTTTTATCATAGTCTTGTACTGTAGAGTAGATTATTAAAATGTAATGTTGCAGAATACAGACCTTGCAATTCTTTTGCAGATAAAGCGTGCTTATACCTCTAGGGGTTAAAAGCTGAATTGGATCCGTAACTTGTCTACTGACAGCCTTTGAAGTTGCTATTTATTTATTTATTTATGTCTAAAGGTTTAGATTGACATCCTTTTATATGTTTGGAATTCTTCAGCAAATGTAAAATGCTTGGTAATGACTGAAATTAACCTAAGGCTTTATATATCCATCTTCCCCAGGAACTGCACCAAAGCTTTAGTAACAGTTGAGAATTTTATGCAAACAACTGTTCTCATGAGAACATTTCATTTTTCTATACCATACTCCCTTTATAATTTCTAGAGTTGTTTTAAGTCAAGTTGGACCCTTTTGCATCCCTCTGTCCCTGTTACCTCTTCTGGGGAGTCTACACTAAAATTTTCACTGATGAAATGCACCAAAAGAGGGGCAGATAAAAAGAAAATAAGTGGAGTGGAAATGAATCTTTAAATGGCAAGTCTGTGAAACATGGAACATGGTTATCTGACGTTATGTCAGAGAGTGTTATCTTTTGAGGAGAAATGAGCAAGAGCCGTCCACACAGGAAAAGTAATAGTTGCTTTACTTCTGTCTGTTTATTTGGGATAGCTTGAACTGTCTCTCACTTTTTCCTTTCTCTCAGTGTGAAAAGATTAACTATTAGAAATGCAGCCAGTAGGCATCTGACTCAAAAGCAATGTTCATTTGACCTTTGGACACAAAATATCTAATGCAAATGAAAATCTCA